GTGGTGTGGTGTGGTGTAGTTTAATGGTAGGTTTTTAAATTTTCAGAGCAATTTTAATACGCTTCAAGCTTTTAAAAGCCTTCTTTTTATGTTTTAGTTGGCGTATGGGAAGAAAAGAAAGGCTACTGGTGTAAAAAAAAGGGAATTGAGTCACTCACTTTCGATGACCTAACAGTGGAGGAGTGCAAGAGGAAATGCCTTGAGCTAACAAATGGAGAGTGTAAAGCAGTTCAATATTTTGGAGACAGCCGAAGTAGTACCTGTGCCCATTGTGATAACTTAGACGACATAGAAAAACACGGAAAACTTGTGAATATTCCTACTCCAGGCTATGTTTACCAGCGAGGTATAAACAAAAATTTGACATTATTAAGATGTCGAATCTTTGACTTTCGATAATTTGATTTAAACCCCTTGAAGGATATGCAGCCCAATTCAGAGGACAAAACCACGTCGGGCTAGAAGGGCTAAAAAATGTCTCATTTTGGCAAAACTCTTTCGTATTTCATTAAAACTGAAAAAAATTGAAGAGTTTAACAAATCTCACAACTCTGTCGTTTTACTTTGTTGAATTTCGACATTTTGGCGGGAAATTGACGTCATCAATTTTAACGGAAAATCAAATTCTCCTCAATGGAAAAGTCTATCTAGCGCATTTGAAAAAACTGCACACGAGGAGATCAAAAATGCAAAACTTGTTCATTTCTGATATGGGAACCAAAAGATATGATTTTTTGAATATTCATAAAGCTTCCATTTTGTTACTATTTTTAGAAACAAAATGGCAGCTTCATGAACTTCAAAAAATCATATCTTTTGGAATAGAATCTTACTCTCATGAGAACTGAAATTCATTTTTTCCCCTGAGCTGAACGGCTCTGGGCTCTGGGCCGCATAACAACAAACTAATATTCATTTTTTTCCACATTTTGAAGCAATTCTTATCAATGTATTTTTCGAATGTATACAATCCCTAGAAAGTGGCTTGGGGTTTTAAATGTTTTTTTTCAAGCCACAAACTACCTACTTCCTCAAACTTCCTATCCACTATGGCATTACCTCWTTCACGATTTCAGCAAATCAGCAAAAACTAGGCGCTTCTGATCATATATTCTCATGCGAATTTGCGTCACAGATATAAGTATTAAATTATTTTTATCATCATAATCATCAACGTCATCGTCATCATCATTATTATCATCATTATTATTATTAATATTATCATTATTAATGAATGATATTTATTATTACTTACTACGTATTATTTATTTATTATTTATTTGTTATTAATATAATTATTTATCATCATCACCAACGTCATCATCATCATAATCATAATCATTATTATTGATTAATTATACAGCTTCTCATTAATCCCATATAGATAACTGTTCAATTATTTTCTTAATTGGACAGGTCTTGTTGATATGGGATAAATTAGGCAGCTATATAATTAATAGGTAATGGGATTTCATGCTCCCCAATCAAGAAATAGTTAGACTCGAAAAATTCCTCTGACTGCCAAATTGGACTCGGCCTAAGGCCTCATCCAATTTTGTCAGTCCTCGGAATTTTCCTCGTCCAATTATTTCTTAATTGGACAGCATGGAGTCCTATTACATGTACTTATCGTTATTAATGAATAATATTTATTAGATGCTGCAAAGAAACTAGCCGAAAGACATGCCTTTACTTCAACACTGTATCTCACTCCACCTAACACCAAAAAGAAAGCAGGATCCCTTGTAATGAAAAATGACCAAGTTTATATTGGTAAGTGATGGAATTTTTACTCGGTCATTGAGAAATTACTAATTTCAAATTGTAGCATTATATTGTCTCGCTGAAAGATGACAACGCTTACGCTTGTGCGATCATCAGAAACACTTAAATGAAGAATATATCTTACTTAATCCTGGTTCACATATGATCGCAGACGATCGCAGGCAGTCTATTGACATCTGAGTCGGCGAATAATCACTCAGCAGTAAAACAACGTACCATGCAGATTCAACATGGACTTTAAAAAGATAATTGTTGGCAAATCAAAAAAGAAACGTTCGACTTTATGATCGCGAATACTTCATCAGGGGAGTCATCACTATGAAGAACAGGACGTGCAATCTTAAAATATACTCCCAAACGACAATTGTTTACTTGCCTATATGGCTTACAAACGTAAATTAGCATATGTAATCGTGTGTTGATACTTTTAAACCAGTTATGTTTGAAAAAACAAAAACAAAAAAACAAAAACGAAAACGAAATGCTTTTTCGCTTGTGAAAATCAAAAATATACACGTGTTTTATGGAAAAATGAGCATTGTGGGACACCTTCCAATCTCACGATCGCAGAATTGTGTTCACATATAATCGCAAACGATCGCAACCGATCGCAGGAGTAGAACCCAATTCTATTCCTGCGAGAAAGAGCTTTTCATCCATCGTTAGCTGCCGAAATCTCTCTCAAAACTCCGAGAAACCTTTTAACATTGATTGACCTACACCAGTGAAATACGACACTCAATATTTGATATTTTGATGCTACTTTTAGAATCATCGATGCTATTTTTGGAATCATCGATGCTATTTTTAGAATCATTGATGCTATTTTTGGAATCATGGATGAGCAGCAGGTAGGGGGACTCGCGGTCAATGTCAAAGATTCACGGGCTTAACCCGCGGAATTACGAAGACGGGTACAGCAGATTTATCGCAAACGGAGGTTAAAATATCTTATAAATATACGATGCACGAATGTAAAAAGTTCGTTAACGACTTTTGCATAATTTGTCTAAGACCTAAAGTTATCGTACCTAAGCCAGAACCCTTTTGGTGTTGTGGTAA